GCTTCTAATCAGTCTTCACAATAGTCAGTTTTGCAGCAGCTAAATTAGCAACAATTTTAGTCTTTTCAACCTAGCTTTGTTCTAAATATAAAGCCTTTTTACAATAATTCGGTAATTAGACAATTAGCGTATTAACACTTATTTGATAAACAAGATAATGCATGGAATCGTTTTGGATCATTTCAGGAGAATTCGAGATTATTTATCCCAAATAGATTTAAACAGAGTAGAAATTCAGAGATTATATATTTTATTTGTGAGGAAAGAGATCACATTTGTCTGGGATTGCCTATAGAAGAAGTTAGAGCAGTTTTTTTGAAAAACAGATTCTGGAGATAAGAAGAGCTAACTACACTTGGGAGTTACTTGTTCAGAGAGAACAAAAAATGGTAGGGAGAATTTATATAGAGTTGGCAGTAGAGTATTAAAAGAAGGTGATAAAGCCAGCTGCACTGGTGATAAAGTGGTTGGAAGACAAGATGCCACTTTTCCCAAGGGGAGTAAAGTTGTTGGTGCAGCAAGCAGTTCCGAAGCAGTTTAAGCTTTCGAAAGATGAATTGAATTGGGTAGAGGGAGAGTTTTAGAGATTAAAACAGACAGGTGCAATAAGATTGGTATATATAAGATAGGAGAGGCTGGAGTTTCTCTTGGAAGAAGCCTAGTGTTTTTAGTGCCAAAGCCAGGCCTGAAAAAGTATTATTTGGTAATAGATTTGAGACAATTAAATCAGGTGTTGTCAAGAAAGGTGTTTTGTTTTGAGGGTTTAGATAGGTTTTTGAGAATGATTAGAAGAAATTGGTGGGTGGTTGTGTTAGATTTAAGAGAGGGATATCATCATGTTTTAATGAACGATTGGAACCAATGTTTTCTGGAGTTTTGAGTAAAGAAAAAATAGTTTTATTATACAGTTCTGCCTTTTGGTCTGTCCCAAGCTCTATAGATATTTTTGAAGATAATAAAAGCTTTGATAGGCTCTTGGCAGTTATAGAGAATATGTTATGGAAATCATATTGACGATGTATAGATAGGGTGCCTGTCCAGGGAAGAATTGTTGTGCATAAGAGAAGAGGTAATAAAGATCAACTTAGAAGGTTGTAGGTTTGTAAAAGCTTTGAACAAAGAAAGTTGAGAGCCAACTAGAAGAATAAAAATATATAGGTTAGTAGTAGATACAGTAAAAGGTTTAGTAGAAGTGCTAAAAGAGAAGATAAAGAAGGTTTAAAAGAAGTTAAAGCCTATAGTGAGTTCTCAGAAGATACTAGCAAGAAAGTTGGCATTATTAGCGGACACAATTCAGAGTTTTGCTCAAGCTTTTTTGCTAGCACAAATAAAATGTTTGGAGTATATATGCTACTGAAATTGATTTTTAAAAAAAGCCTATTTTGGGTTTTCAAAAATAAATTAAAATTTTTATAAGGAAGTACAAATAAAATTTATATATTTATATTCTTTATATTTTGGTCTATTCAAAAAAAGTATCAAAAAATTTCAGATTTTAAGTAAAATATATCAAAAACAATTTTGGGAAAAAATTTTAATTTCATGTCCCAAAACCCAAAATAATTTCAGCAGCATGTATAGTTTAGAGTTTTACAAAATTATAGACATGGCGAATCAGGCTTTTTATAAGTGTAACAAAGAGGTGTTTTTAACCAACAAAGCTTTGAAGGATATGAAATGGTTGAAGAAAAATGTAGAGAAGTGGAATAGCAAGCCAGTGTGGAAACCAGCCAAGGTAAAAGCGGTTTTTGTAAATGTGTTAACTATGAGGTGGTGTGGGACTTATTTGACTTACAAGGTAGCTAGAAATTGGCCAGGGCCATTCAGAGCAATAGAGATTGCCCAGCTAGAGAGTTTGGCAACTTTGAGAGTGCTGAAATATTTTGTAATATTGTTAAAGTATTCGTGGGTTACTTTGTTCATAAACAGCACGATAGCATTAAGAGCAGTAATGTTTGGAGGGAGGTGTTCATGGCAGAAAGATATTGCAAGTTTCCTTTAGAAGTTTTGCACAAGAAATGATATTTGGATCTTTAAAGTCAGGTAGGTGCCAAGCAAGAAAAATCCGGCAGACTACCTAACAAGAGTGTAAGACTCAAGCGATTAGCAGTTGAGTGATCAAATATCTTTAGAATTGGAAACAAAGTGGGGGCTAGCAACAATAGATTGGTTTGCAAGCCATTTGAATGCAAAAAAAAGGCATTTCAATAGTTACCACTTTTGCCTAGAGACTGAAGCCATAGATTGTTTTACACAAGATTGGGATACAGAAGTAAATTATGCATGCCCACCTTTTAGATTAATTTATCGAGTATTGGCACATAGCAGAGAGTGCAAAGCACAAGTATTTTTGATTTTGCCAGTATGGGTTTTGGCTCCTTAATGGCCAATGTTTCTTGCAGCCCCAAAGAAAGTAGTGGAGTTACCTCCAGTCAGTGTTGTAAATGGGACATATCCACACTATGTAAAATATCCAACATTCAAGATTGTCCAAAATCATCCAAGCCTATGTCTCATGTTTAACTAATCAATAAAGTAATTTAAAAAAATATATAATTATATATTTTTTTAGGTGCTAGACTCATTTGTGAAAAAATTAAAATAGATTATCTTAATAAAATTTTAAGTAATTTTAATTTGAAAAAATGTCTAAAATTGTCCAAAATTGTTCCATATACAACACTGTCTCCAGCTATAGAAATTATTGTCCTAGGGCTGTCAGGTCAGAAAAGGCTATACAAAAATCTGTCATAGAAACTTCTGGTAGCAAGAATAAGTTGATCAAAGTGTTGCTAGAGCATGCAGATTGTTTGGCTTTTCAGGCTATAAATAGAAATTATAAATTATATTTGGATAAGACTTAGCAGATATTTGTTAAGTTTTGTAATTAGGTGAAAGAGGTGTCATGTTTAGCAAGTATAAATATAATTAAAGCTTTTCTGGATGGTTGGAAATAGCAGGTTTAATTTCGCAAGTGCAAGTTTATCTTGGTGCTATAGGAAGAATGCATAAGGAAAAAGGGTTAAATAATCTAGTAGAAAATTTCAAGATAAAAGAGGTAGTAAGAGGCATTAGGTTGGTAAAAGCTCAGGACTATAAGGTGAAGTGGCCACGGGACCCTTTTCTCTTAGAAGCTTTGAAATAGTATCTTGATAACTCACCTAAAAAGCTTGACCTGATTATCTGGTATAAGGATTTAGCTTTAATAGCAATTAGGTTTCGTATAATGTGAAGGCCTAAAGAGTTATACAAGTTGAGATTTAATAATGTGAATTGCTGTTGTAAATTAGAGTAAAGAAGACAAAATTGCAAATAGGAAATTTGTGCTAGTTGAGCTATCAGGTGGTAAAATTTGTTCAATAAGGCTGCTTAAGAAGTATTTAAGTGTAAAGCCATATACAGCAGATAAAGATTTGTTGTTTTTGTCAAATAAAAAAGTAAAAATATTAGTAGTAGCAGTTTTAGCAGTTATTAAACATATGACGGAGAGAGCAGGAATTAATAGTTATTTACATCTTATAGTTTGCAAATTGGGGGTACAACAGTGGCTATGAGGGGTGGTATATTATTAATGCAAATAAGGACTATTGGGGTTGGGAGTCAAAGGTAATTATGCTTTATTTTAAAGCCATGGAAACTACAAAAGAGAGGATGTCAGTTAAAATGGGGTTTTAAGTGTTTTTAATTGATATATAGAGAAAATTAGAAAATATGTGATGCTTTATATACATAGTAGAGACAAGTGAAGGAGAATGCAATTCAATTCTCTTGATGATCTCATATGTGTATTTCATAGTGCTTTGCTTGATGTATTGTTTAATGCACTATTCAATGTTTTGTATAGTCAAGTGACAAATGTGATACTATGAACAAAGTCACGAGATATCTATTTCTCATGAGATTATAACCCAGTTCCCAGACCCATGACATCAGTCTAATAGAGTAAGTAATGATAAATGAGGTAATAATGAAATAGGTGTTTGATAAGTTATAATGTTTGGTATGATGTTTGATGAATATAATTAAATAAGTAATAGCATTAGCAAAATATATAACCATAATCTTATATAAGATATTACAAGCCATAATATTGCACAAAAATTATGGTCTGAGCATAATATTGCATAGAATATTGCATAATTTATTATAAAATATTGTGTAATTTATTACATAATATTATGCAAATTATTCCAGAATATTATGCAATATATGTATTATAGAATATATTATTATGAGCATTGTAATTTAACACTATATATGGCAATAAAACACCACCTACATGATTATTATTTATTAATATAATCAATTAATATATCATAATCGCTATATGTTCTATAATATTTACATACTATATATATACTATAAGTATACAAAAATTTATTATTTTTACAATTTTAAATTAATAGCTCTTTTAACTCTAACTGTAAAGACTAAAATTATTCTAACCCTAGCCCTAGCCCTAAAGTCAACCCAGGTTCTAACAATTATTTTAGGCCACATCAACACAAAATCACAACAGGTCATACCAATTACTATTTTGCATATAATTTTTCAAGTACAATATTCTGTAGAACTATTCTAGAAATCTATTCTTTGGATAATAGAATTTTTTAACAAGATATAGCTAAACTACATTAAAGAACTCAAATGATGATATAGAACATATTTACAGACCAGAAAGCAAAAAAAATAATCTAAATTCTTAAGCCTTAACCTACCAACCTTGTTGTAATGCCAAAACCAACATTACCAACATACAAGAAGCAAAAACTTAAATGATACAATTCACCAAAGAACCAATGATGAAGCCAAGAAGATGACATACAACTTACCAAAGCAAAGCTGAAATGATAATACATAGTCTACCAAAGCACCAACAATGATGCACAACTCACCAAGTCACCAATGACAAGAAACCAAAATGACAACATATAACTCACCAAGGCACAAACAACAAAGTCAAACTAACAATTCACCAAAGCACCAACAACAAAGCCAAAATGACGATTTACCAAGACACCAACAATGAAGTTGAAATAATGAAGCTAAAAAAATGTAGCACCTCACTAAGGCACCAACGACAAGCCAAAATATCTTTACCAAGGCACCAACAATAAAGCTGAAATGACAAAGCTAAAGTGACACCTTACCAATAATGAAGCTGAAATTTTAATTCACCAAAGCACCAATAATGAAGCTGAAATGACAAAGCTAAAGTAACACCTCACCAAGGCACTAACGATGAAGCTGGAATGTCAGTTCATCAAGGCACCAATGACAAAGCTGAAATGACGAAGCCTTACCAAGGTACCAATGACGAAGCCGAAATGTTAATTTACCAAGGCACTAATGATGAAGCTAAAGTGACATCTTAACAACAAAGCTGAAATATTCATTCACCAAGGCACCAATGGCGAAGGTTCAATTCTAAGTAACTGTCCTAGTAACAGCTCCAATAATGATAACACCAACAAGACAATTTAAAACTAACAAAAAAAGATATTAGAAAAATATTAGAACTACGTTAAAAAAAATAAAAAAAAATTAACTGATTTTAATTAGTTGATAATCACTATTTATATCCATGATTTGATATGTTATACTAAAAATAGGGTATAATATATGTTACTATTAATTATATAAAATTTTATTTAATTACTATCGCAAATTTTGTCGAATTGCTTTTAATTCATAATTATAGTTGCTAGACAAAACCTCAAGGTTTTGCGCTGATGAAGTCAAAACCTAGTTTTAATTAAAATCTCAAATAATGAAATGTTGAAACTGATAAAAGGTGTCGAAACTCACAAAAGGTGTTGAAACTCGTAAAAGATGTTAAAACTCACGAAAGGTAACAAAAGGTAAAAAAACTCATTATTGCTTTGGTTGAAGAACTTTTTCTTATAAATTATATTATAATGATTTCTATATATCTGCTTTACTATACTTTACTGTATATTATTGAAACTTGATTTACAAAATATAAGTTTTTATTAAACCATACATGCCTGAAAGCTTCAATGTAGATTGTTTTTTTTTTGAAATATATAAATTTATGGTGATTATTTTTATCAACAGCTTGGCTTTGCTGAAAATAGATTTTATTAATTTTTTAGCAGGAGCACTAGAATTTAAGAGTTTTTTTTTTTTTTTTTTTTTTTAAGAGAGGTCCTTTTCTCGTATCTTTTATTATAATTATGCTAGATTTACATGTTATTACAACTATGATCTAAACTAACTATTTATAGATAAAAGATAAAGCTCATTTACTCCAGACCTAATCTTAGCTAGATCGGTCCTAAAACCTCTAGTCCATGTTATTAATATCGATTGGGTTGTGATTGTTTAAAATGTATTTTTTTATCCAACTAAAGATATCTGAGTGATTGCCTCCTTGATTAATTCTGGTGTGTGTTTGCCTACTTGGTTGAGTTATCAGAACCGTAATTTGCTATTGAATCATCCTACTTGGTTTTCAAATTTCTTCGTAAACTTTCTTTATAATGTCATGGTATAATTTAGATGTTGCTTTTTTTTTTGTCGTTGGGAGAGTCGTGTTTTTTGTAATGAATCCTAATGGTATGTTGTTTTGGATGTGTGTTTGAATAAAACTATTAATGAAATCATTGGTATCTACTATATTTAGTTCAAACTTTTGCATAATATTATTTAGAACGTGATTTACAGTTGTATTGAATTAGCCGGACAAAGCAGCCAATGTTGGTTATCTTCTTGATAGAAGGTGCATCTCAGGCATGCTGGTGATGTTACTTCAGTAGAATTTCTTTGGTGTAAGATTAATCGGTTAGGTAATTCATTCGTTAGTATTTTAATCTTGAAGTTTTTTAGTTTCGACGCTACCAAATTAGTATATCGTTGGTTGACTTTATCTTCCCAATTAATTGATTCGAATGTTGATTTCCAGTTGATTGGGTTATGAGTCTTTTGCCATTGGTGTATTCTGCTTTGTGAGGTCCACTGGTCTAAGTTCGTAGCTCTGAATAAATCTTTAAGTAATATTTTGAGTAGTATATAAATAGAATAGTCGTATATCTCTAGTAAGTAGAAGATGTTTAAAAAAGATCTTGTATTTAATTTCGTTGTGATTACTGGCAAATTATTTAATCGTTTAAGTTGGTTTTTGAGTGCATGTGAAATTTAATGTTTTTGCTATTCGTTAACCTGTATAGTATACTTAAAAATTGGGTGTAAGTTTCCTTCTTGTGATTTAGTTTACTGAGGTGTTGGTTTATGTATTGAACAAAGTTGATTATGTTAGTTGAATTAGTATTAATTGTTATTTTGGTGTTCTTATTACTTATAGTTGCTACTATGATTAATGCTATTATCACTATCTTCTTTGGTCATTGCCAAATTGTGTTTCATATTTGGAGAGTTTGTTTTTTTATTTTGATAATTGCTACTGGCGTTAGTTTGTCCAATTTAATTGTTGTTATAAGAATCTCTACAGTTTGAGATGTAGTATCTGATTGTAATAAACTATGTAATTTTTTGCTTATGTTGTCAAAGGCATAAATAATGTTATAGTTGAGTTCTTTGTACATAGGTAAGAATTTCTGTTGCTATCTGTTGCTCACAGAGGTGCATAGTGGTGATTGAAACTAATTAAGGTCACCGTGCTATGTTTCTTTTTATTGACTCTGATCATGAAAATTTGGCTTAAGTGAATTTTGAATCTAGATTGTTGGTAGTTATTGTTCCTGTGATTGTATCTTTTACATTTAGTAAATGAGTTGTTTGTAGTATTTAGTTCCCAGTGTTGTATGGTAGTGTGTTGGTTGTATGGTTTACGCATTTTTCCAAATAGCTTTTGGGATGTAATGACCTATTTATGTTTGTAGTTTTGTATTACGGATTGCTAGGTATATAGGTTAATGGTTGGAAAGGTTGTTGCTGATAATGCTTGTTCTGCAATTAATCGTTGAATTGTGCTATACCAATTTGGTGTTCTGCCTCTCAGTATTTTCTGTATATTGTGGTGAAAGTTTTTCCAAGTGATGAAATTAGTACAGTTATTGTTTAAGAATTGCTTAATTGCAACTATGTTATGTTTGTTCAGTTAGTCCTTGATTTTCATATTAGACAGTGATTGGTTTAGTAGTTCGTTTATTGGGTGCCTTGAAATTTGCATATAATTGGCCATCCACAAGGTGGTTCTTGAAAGCTTATATTTATATAGTGCGCTATCAATATTAATTAGTTGGTGTATGAGTTTTGTTTTCTTGATTCTAGCGTTGTTAGCTTTTTAAAAATTGAGGTATTAGTTTTCGTGCTATTTTGTAATTGTTAAATACGTATCTTAAATGATTTGTGTATTGAATTAAGTTGATTAGATAAGGAAATTATATGACTAGATGCTTGTATCTGTGATAGATCTAGCAACCCATAAATGAATGAGTTAGTAATAGTTGAATTAGGCACTCCTCTTGCCAAAGAGACCTTTTGTTTGACTATGCTAGCATATTTTGATATAAGTTGTTTGTATATGTGTAGAGTTAGGAATATGTTTTGAAGTTGGTATTTGATTTGTGCTAGAAGTACAACATTGATAATATATATTGCTTGTTTCTCTGTAATGTATATGTATCTGAGTTTGTTTAGTTGTTGGTTGAAGGTGCGTATTATTTGTTTAATTACTATTGAATTTGATGGTGTATAGTCGATATATGTTTCTAAGAATCTTAGTGTTTTATTTCTCTTTATATTATTAATAAGTTGTTCTTGGAAGATAATAGGTTTTTTGTCACCTTGGTTGTTATGGAGTAGCACCGATTTGCTGGGGTTGACTATGATCTTTGCGAAGTTGTAAAAAGAGTTGGCTATTTTTAGAATGTTTTCAAGTTGTTTGCGATTTGAAAATATCCACGTAGTGTCATCTATATATGCAATTACAGAAGTATTATAAGTTAGTTGTTTACTCGGTTGAGGTTGGTATACTGTCATAGTGTAGTCTTGGGTTTCATATTCAATGCAGGCAATTAACGGGTCATAATAGATTCTCCATAGTATAGGTGATATTGTTTCACCTTGGTCTAAGCCATCATATACTGGGTAGTCCTGTGTTTTACCTATGCTGGTGATAACTTGGTTAGTACAATATAATAAAATCTTTGTTAATAATTTAATTATTTGGTTAGAGATTCGTATTCTCTCGAGTGCCTTTATTAGTAGAGGTATATGAACCATATCGTAGGCCTTTGATGTATTCTGTGCTAAAATCCATAGTTCTTTATTGTTTGCCCGGGTGTCTTCTCTGATATGTGTCAAATGATTTATTGGCTGTGTTGTCACTGTTCCTGGTAAGGCAACATTATTACATTCTGATAGCACTTTAAGCTTAACCAAGATTTGATTAATTCTATTGGTTAGTATTTTTGTGAATTTTTTTCTGGCATGTTCGATCAGTGTTATGAGCCTAGTTCTAGATAGGTTTCCATCCTTGTATCCACTTTTTGTAATTGGCCAGACCAATACTTTGGTCCAGGCTGTTGGAATAGTTTTTAGGTCGATGCATGTATTATAAATATTTACAATGTTCGATAGGGCAATTTCAGGTAGGTGTTTGAGTATTTCATTTGATATTAGTGAGGGCCCAGTCACTTTTGACGTGGGTGTCTGCTGTATAGTTTCCACTATTTTTGTCAGTGTAATTGGTTGGATTAGAGGGTTATAGACTGTTGGATTAATTGAGCTGATTGGTTGGTAATATTTCTCTCAAGTCGGCCATAGATTCTAGTTACTTGGGTTGTAGCTAGTCCAATTTTCAAAATGCTCTGCCGTTGCTTTTTTAATCAGTGCTAGGTTCATAATGACTTCGGATGACAAGGTTATGTTTATGGAACTGACATGTTGTTTTTGTTGTTTCAGTATGCTATTAATCATTTTATCAGTGTTATCTTAAAAGTTCTGTTGTCTCTTTATGATATGATTGTGGATTGATTGTCTTTGTTATTGTTGATTTTCAGCATTATGCACTATGAATAGGGCCTTTCTTAGTTCTTTTAGCTTGTTTATCATCTGACTGATATTTTGTGTTTCCAGCTTGTTTGGTAGTATCTGGTTAATTACTATGCTAGCTGATTTGATATTTTTTAATATTTCGTTTGCGTTGTCAGATAACTAGGATAGTGATAAGGAGGTGAATTGTGTTAGAGATGCTATGATTTTGTTTATAAGCTTGAATTGCTGATAGAGTTTTGTTGCTTGGTACGAGAAAGGTTTAAAGATTCTTGATCCAGCTATTGTATATGGGATATTGCTTGTTTGATGATCTGCTGTATGTTGTTCTATACTTTGTCAAGTGTTCGTTGGTTTGAGATTTGGTTGTATGTCGTTGATGATTGTCTCGTATGTAGGTTTACTTGATTCTTAAATTCGTCTCATTTTTCTTGGCTAGTATTTGTGTAATTGTATATCTTTCGTCTTATCTTCCGTTGACATAGTATTTGTATATTATGCTGTATATACCATCTTGTTTGTATGATTTTATAGTCGCTGTTTGTTGTCACTGCTGATGCGATGATTAGGGGTTGGTCAAGGCCAAGCATAATTTTGGTTGGTCCATATGTTATCAATCTGACTTGAGACACTTTGGTTACTTCAGGTTGGTTCTTCGATGCTATAAAATTGAAGCGCACTTATTAGGTTTGAAGTATTTAAGTAAGTAATTAATATCGATGGGTTTTTCTTATAAACATTAAAATTGAAGTCTCCAGCTACAATAATGTTGTAGTTGTATGATCGTCCTTATTGGATCCAGTTGATGATAGTTTGTTAGGCAGAATTTGTCTTAGTTGAATTACCAAATAGTATGTAGGTGCCTATTATTCTAGTTTTGTTGCAATTAGGTAGAAATAAATCGATTAGTAATACATGATCTGGTATTGATTTTATATCATAGATGTATAGTTGTAAGCTTGGTGTAAGCCCTATTGCTACACCTTTCACGAATTGTCTTAGTGATATATTGTACTCGTTACAGTTTGCTATGAACATTTTATATCAAGGGTTAATTAGGCTAGTTGGATGAGTATAGTCTGCTGACAGTTTTGTCTCTATCATGATCAGTGTTGGTTAAATCACTGGTCGACCAAAAATTCACTGGTCAAACTGGTCTGGTTAAATTGGTCAAGTGGTCTGGTCAAATTGATCAAATGGCTTAGTCTATTAATAAAATAAAAATAGTATATATACTATATACATATATATATATACTATATATTTAAATATCATTTGACCAATTTGACCAATACTAAACCCTTTGACCGGACCAGTCAAATTGGTCAAACTAGTCTGGTCATGCTTGACCATTGACCGGTCTGTGTCAACACTGATCATGATGCATATATCGACATTCTAAACTGAACAATATTGAAGCTATGTTTGTAATTTTAAGCTAGAGTTGATGCCTTGTACATTATGTACTGCTATGCCTAGATCCGTAATTTTGCGTTTTTTCTACACTGGGCTTCTCTGACTATCAACTGTAGAGCTTATCTGTTGGGGCAAAGAGGTTGTTGCATTTGCATAATTTGTTTCGTTTAGTTTAGTGTTTATATAGGTTGAGTAAATATCTTCTAATAGTAAGTTGGCTTCACTTTGTAATATAACCATTATCTATTGGGTACATAGTTATCGAAGATGTCCCATTCTGGTAATGCCAGATCTGGGAGGTTGTGAATATAGATTGGTGTAACTGTAGTATTAAAGTAGATGCTAATACTGTCTAGGGTGAGTTCAATCTCTTTGTATTCTTTAATAAAGAGTTGAAGTTTTAGTTTTGGTCAAGTATTGCTAGTTGTTGTTGTAATTCGTTGAGGTTTGCCGGCATTGGTGGTTTTTTATTATTTGATATGTTTGCCTTTTCTTTCTCTGAAATGTCAATCCACTCTGCTAGAATTTGTCTAAAGAAGTATTAGGTGCATAATTCTCTTGCTATGTTGACGAGTTGTTTAGGGGTTGTAATTGGTATTGTTAGATTCATTTGGGTGATCTTTGTGTAGTCATTGGTAGGTCCGGTTTGTTAGTGTAGTTAACAGTAGTGTAGCTGAATAGTAGAGTTTCAGGAATTCTGTAATCATCTTCCACTTCCGCAATGAATTGCAGTGTACTAGTTTTGTTGGCGATTGGGAAACTATAGTTTTGTTGGGTTGTTAACTTATAGGGATCAGTTGGTAACAGTTTTTGATAATGATATAGTCACTGAGTAATCTTTTAAATCTGTAGACTCTTTTTAGTTTTTTTATCAGGCTTTTGAATTCTGCTTCATTTTTTTGGTTTACAGAGAAATAAATTTCTGTATTCTGTCTGTAGTGCCTGTGGTGTTGATAGTAGGTCAATTTTTTCTAGGGGGAGATCAAAATAGGTTAAAGAAAGTTTTTCTTCCAGTCTGTAGAGCTTGTGGAGTTCTTTACAATATTCTGCTAGATATAGTAATCTACTATGGTCTTTGATTGGGAAGATGTGTCTCAGTACTTTAAACTTATTTGGGTTATATGGTAAGGTTGTTCTTACGGTTACAAAGTATGCATCAGGTAATTGACTAAAGTCTGAGTGCTTTACCCATTGCTGCTGCCCTAGTGTTATCCTCGATTGGTAGTGTGAAAGGCAGAAATTTTATGATGTCTATGGGTAGCTCCTCTGGTTTGTCAGAGAGTTCTAGTTTGGAATTTACCGATTGTTTTATGGGCTTGTTCAAAGGACATTGAGGTTTTGATTTTGCTGAAGTTTATCAAATAGTAGATATGTTGTGTGCTAGTGTGGTCTCCTAGCAGGGTTAGGTTTAGTGAAAGTATTGCGTCGATAGCTATTTTTTTCCTTAGCTTGTCATAAATTTGGTCACAGTTGTTTTTGTTAACTAATAGTATGTTATGTTTGTGTTTGTATTTTTCTATAGCTATATTCATCAGTGCATTGAATTCTCTTTGGTGATCAGGTTGAGTATTTCTGTCTCTAGAGAAGGATCTGAAGAAGGCTGTGTCTCTGTATTTTAATTTGTTTGCGATTGCAATTGGAATATTAATCATAGATGTAGATGTTTTACTTTTATGTTCGATAAACTGTTTGAATAGTATGTTGTTACTAAGTGCTTGGATGACTTTGTCATTGTTCTAGGTGTTGTGATCAAATGTTTATGTTTTTCTTTTTTCTAGTTCACTGGATATCTCGGATAACCAGAGTTGTTCTGGTTGGATGCCATAGCTTGTTGAGCTTGATACCGCTTGACTTTAGGATTTTTTTTAGTTTTTTTCCTGTTAATCTATTCGTTGTAGGCTACTGAGTTGGATTTTGGTAGCTGTTTTACTAACTCTATTGTTCATGGATCGACAATGGTTGTGTTACTTGATTCATTGTTTGGTGGTGTAACCAGGATATCAATGATCATTTGATCGTCGGTGCCCATGTTGCTTGGCATGGGGGTCAGCTCAGGTTACCTCTGTAATGGTTTGTTATGTTGGTAACATTACTGTGTATGTTGTTTTCTTTGAGTTTGTATTGTTTACTGTTAATGCTATGTTTGTGCTATTGTTAGTGCTTGTTGCTGCTTGTTCAGTAGGTTTAGTGTTGTTGTCTGTTGTAGCAACTTGTTTTACACTTATTGGTTTGGTGTTTGTTGAGTGTTGTACTTTGTCTAATATGTCCTGCATCTTGTCTTCTTTGATGCATTTAGAAGGTGTGTCAGAGCTCTGTTGGTGTTCATTGACACCTTCCATGTTTAGGTTGTTGTTGAATAGTAGAGTGTTGTGGTTTCTTTTGTTGTTGGAGTTTGTTGGTGGTGTCTTTGCTTTAATTAATTGCAATATTTCAGTAATTTTACAAAAAAGCTAAATTTATAACTTTTAATTTTATTTTTGGAATTTTTTCTTTGTTATTGTAATTACTCTTTGAAATCTCTGATTTTGCTTTTTAGATATTTCAGATACTTGTTTTTTTATAATGATATTTTATTGATAGATGGTCTTAGAATTTAAGAGTTTCAGTAATAACAGAATTTTTTTTAGTAATTTTCACTTTTTTTTTTTTTTTAGTAAAAATATTAGAGTTTTATCAAGTTAAGTTTGGGGATTCAACTATTGCCAGAAGGATTTGAAGGTTTTGATATTTGTCAGAAGAATGTGAGGTTTTGATTTTCAATAGAGGTTTTGTCATTTAGAGCTCAGATTTCAACTTTCAGCATCAAGCAAAAATGGTATGGTTTTATTTAACAACTATATTATAAATATAATGGACAAAATCTTTTAGTCTGAAGGGTTCGTTATAATGAGGGTAGAGTGTATTTTGTTACATCTTCTCCAAGTTTTAGAAAGCTTTTTTGTTCATTTAAATTCTTTAATATCATCTACCATTTTTTTGAATAGGTTTAAATTCGAGTTAATACTTTGAAGCCATTTTTTTTTTTGGAAAGATTATTAGACTTTTAAGACAATCAAGTGCCTAAAACATAAAATTAATAAATAAATTTATTTATTTAAACATGAAAATATAATGAAAAAATTTTTTTATACTTATGAAGAGTTTTTTTGTACTTTTCTAAAATTTCAGATTTGGATTCATTATCTTTAGTACTCAATCCTTCATTATCTATATCTTGGTTTTCTAAATTTGTCGCATTGTATGATTTCTAGTCTTCACCTGTTTTCTAAGCACACCTAACATAATGCTTGTGGTAGTAAAGCTTTCAGATTCTAACAATCCAAAATTAATTCAAAATCAAAATCCATATACATATACATATTGCTTTCTTCTTCAAAATTTCATAGTCAAGTTCTTTAGACTTTATAGTTGCTTGCGAATATTACTTAAAATTTGATCCTTATATTTTTTTCTTTTGCTTTTCTTTGCACAGGTTGTACACTTTAAATCCGATTTATTTTTTTGAAATATAGTTTTTGGTTTTATAATTCGACAAGATGAACAAAGTTGATCTTTCTGTTCAGCAAAAAACCTGATATATTTTTTAGGCTGCTTTACCAACAAGTCAACAAATAATTTCACTTAATTTATAGTGAATTTCCTCTTCTGTCAATTTGGTGTCAACCTTATTAATACTGCAATAGCCTGAACAGTTTCTTCTTCTATCTTAAAAGTTGTGTGTGTTTTATATTCTGTTATGTAACTGATTTTGGTGATGAAACTAAGTGGGTTTGATGGTGCATTTGGGGTATAAGATGTTAGTTGATGATACGAAAACCAAAATAGCCTATTTGCATTATTTCGAAATTTTTTGCTTAAAGTAAAAAGCTATAATATTATGTAAGAAATTTCAAAATATTTCAAAATACTTTACATAATATTTCATAATTTGAAATTTCACAATATTTCGAAATTTCTTATATAATATTACAGCTATATTATGTTTTGTAAACTATTGCGAAATATTACGGTCTAAAAAATTTGCTGATGTAGTAAGGATAAGGTCATGTTAAGTGGCTATTTAAGAAGTGTTGGATCAGGTAGTGGTTTTTCCTCTTTTGTTTTTGCTGCTAGCTCAACAAAAGTCTAGTTTTGGTGCAAATTTAGAAGTTGGCTTTAGTTTGTTTTTGGGTTGATAGCCTGGGTGAACAACCTGGATATCAAATAAGCAGATGATAACCCAACTGGACAGGTTGGATATCAAATAAGGGTAATAGTGATTGATTCTAGGTATGACTAGTGATTATGTGAACAGCAAGACAGGATATTTCATATGTATATTTCATAGTGCTTTGCTTGATATATTGTTTGATGCATTGTTTGATGTTTTGTATAGTCAAGTGACAAATCATAAATTCTGGGACAACTGATAAAAATTGATCAGCCGAATTCGATAAGCTTAATAAGATTTTGAATTTGCTGAAATCAAATTCCAATAACACCAAATTCAAAAACTTATTAAATTTGGCCGAAATAATTTTTATCAGTTGTCCCAGAATTTATAAAAACAGCTGTAAGTGAAAATTGTTCCTGGGTCAATTTTACCATAATGCAGGCTTATTTCTTAAAAATTTCCATTTTTGTAATGAAAAAATTAAAAAGTTAATTTCGGCAGGAAATTAGTAAACAATTATGTAATGCAGGCCGAAATTTTGAAGATCCTCAGCCGTTAGCCAATCAAAATCGAGGATCTGTCGCGCATTTTTTGTGCGGCACCTAGGATTAATGCTAAATACAAGTACTACGGCATTTCGCAGATCTGATTCTGCACTTTAATTAAAATCTGAATTTTTAAAAATTATCTCAGATCTGAGTATAAAAAAATTTCCCGATGATACGTATTGCATTAAAATCAAAATCTGATGGAGTTTATGAAATTTTATCTTACATTGCTCCTGAATTATTGAACAAGCATCCATATACTACAAAATCCAATATTTATTCATTTGGTATAATTATGTGGGAAATTTTATACGGTAAACCTGTTCCTTCTGAGCAAAAACTTACAATTTCAATTACAAGTATGTAATGGGTTTCGATCACATATTTATGAAAATACAGCAACATGCTATACAGATTTAATGAAGGAATGTTGGGACATAGAACTAGAAACACGACCAACAGCAAAAGAAATTTGTGATATTTTTGAAGAATGGCAGAGTAGTGAAATTATTTTATCGGAATTATCGGAATCTGATGGCTTTATAAAAAATGAGCATATTTCAAATAGTGATTCACATTATAAAAGTGGCTTTATTTCATTTAACCATCAATTTTTTTTTAAATATTGCATTATTCTATGTTATAACATTATTTAATAATTTTTTTTTATAGATAGCAAATTAAATGAATTGGAAATATCGAATATTATTGAGCAATAAAAACAACCATCATAATTTTGGAACTGAAAATACCGTAGAAGAAATCATGCTTACTAATGAAATTAGGCCTGTATGTAATAAAAGCTTGATAAGCTTAAAGTTTGAATTTTTCGATACTTTAATGCATTTCCATATTTGAATTAGATTTTTGTATTAGAGATATGTCATTTATTCTGCAATTTTTGTACGAGGAAAAATCAGCAGCCTATGAAGTTAATGTATCGATTGTAATCATGTACTTAGCATGTACTGTAGTATGTACTGTAGCATGTATCTATATTTATGAGTAAAATTCATAAGCGATTCATAAGCAATTTATTATTGGGCTTAACCTAATCACTCACATTAACCATCACGAAATTGGAATTATAGTTATTGTAATTCCATCGAAAGTTACTATAAATTTGAACATTTGTCTTATAAATAATTTAAATTTCATTAGTAAAGTGAAAAAAAATTAGAAGTTAAGCATACAAGTCGAAACTTTAATAAAATTTTTGCAAAAAATCGAGCATTACTTTTTAGAGGTGAATTTTACGAAGAGTTTTCAATTAAAAGACATTAGAAAAAGAAGCGCAATGTCAAGGTAGGTTCTTTAGAATTTTGTGCGTTACTTATTAATTAAATATATATATCAATATGATATTTAATCGATTACTTTTAAATATTGCAATTTTATTATTATATTATTATATATTATATAGTATACATATATGTAGTGTAAATATTAATTTATATATTTATTAAGATTTTTTATCCCGATTGTAATTTGTTGGTGTAATTTAATACAATCGGTAATTAATAGATTAATTAATTAATATACAATCAGTAAAATTACTACTATTTAATTAGTAATTTTACTGATTGTAATATATTTATTAATTTAAGTTACTATATAACAATCAGAATTTGAATTAATAAACTAATTCAAATAGGCCGTCCTATTAAAAGCCTATTTTATCCCGATTTTTGCCATTATCTGACTGCAATAGGCAATAAATAATATTGTTAAATATTCTCAAATCGGTATTTTATCAGTTTATAATAAGGATGCCTATTTGTATTTATTTTTATATCTAATTATACTGGTTGAATAGTTTTCGACCTGTGTATTCAGATTTGTGGTTACTTTTAAAATACTATTTAATCATACTAATACCAGTAGTAGTACTATACTATGTTTTAGAACACCAGCTACAGATAATAATTTTTTATCTAAAGATAATTTAAAGTAACCCAGATTGGATATACATTTTTACTACATTTGAAAAATTGTTCTTCTAATCTCTCAGTATCATCTGAACGAGTGGATTAAAAGTAGGTGCAGAATTTTGTAAGTTTTTGTTAAAAGATATAATGCAACTAATAAATTTGAGAATTTGGAATTTTTGCTTAAAACAATGTTTTTATACTTATGAAATTAAAAGAAAAAAAAACTATATTGCAGCTAAACAAATGCAACTGTGACAAAAAAAACTTTTACAAAAAAACTATATTGCAGCTAAACAAATAACAAAAAAAAAACAATTACAAAAAAAACATATCACAGCTTAACAACCATAAAAACAAAAAAATATCACAATTACAAAAAACAAAAGTGAGTGTTTAGGAAAATTCAGACTAAAAACATTATAACCTGATATAAGCAATTTAATAAAAGTAATACTGTATACAGCAATAAACAACATTATATGTTTTGCTTAGTATCACTATTTGCATATTTGTGTTTCATGTTTGCTTCACTTCTATGTTGTCAAAAGATGAACAATCATCAAGACAGAAATTAGTATTAAAAGATTTATATAATTATACTGATTATTGATCAAAAAATAGAAAGTCAACTAAAGCTATCAATACTTACTAATATTGTAATATTATGCCACAATTATTAATCAAAATGACCAAAAGCAAAAGAAAGT